GAACGATCAATCCATATGTTCAATCTTTTGATCGCAGTTTTACCTCATCGTAGAAAATTAGCCGTTATCTCAGACATTCTTTTCTAAATCCATTTCTTCCCTTCCATTATTTCAATTATTCATTGTTCCGCCCCATTGTTTGTCAATAGCTGATGATCCTTAATTTATAACTACATTTTAATATAGATATTTAAAGTAAAATTTGTAAATTCTCTTAGCTTCGATCAGCCTCCTCCAAATTCACATTATGTTGTTTCAAATGAAACACCGCCCTTCGTTTTACCAAACGCCCCTCGGAGATCGAATAGGGGCCCTCCCGCTGACCACCAAGGACGCTCCGTGTACCAAAGGGTTGGTGACGCCACGAGAGGACAAACTGAAACCTAGGAAGGTCATATGAGGCATTCCTGCGATCTGGTTGGATATTTAGTAACGTTGATTTCCAATAAAAACCATCCGTACATAATCAGTCATTTTTTTACATAAAATGCTAGCACATACAATGTATCGTACGATTAGGGCCTTGTATTTCAACCCTAAAAAAGACATTTTTTAAGAAATATACAGGAGCAGAAACAATGTACTCTGCCACAAGAAACATTGTTCCTATGATATGTAAACATCGTTATTATATACACAAGCGCCAGATATGAGGTATGCTGCAGTTTCATTGGTTGGCTACTAGACAGATATTAGCTCATATCTGTCTAGTAGAGAAAGTAAACAAAATGGCTGAAAGATTTGGGAAGTTGAGTGAAATAGAAATTCGAGCTTTAGTTGATAATAGCACACCAAAATGCACCGAAAGGGCGAAAAAGTTTGTGTATATAATACTCACTCTCGTCGTATATGGCTCATATACGACTCGAGTTCGCAGAATAACTGTTAATTATTATATAAATATATAAATGTACACCAGGTCCTCCTAGTATAAGCGATCTATAGCTACGACTCTGAACACCCTCATATTCGTTTAACTGCATTACGACCATGAACAAAAGTGCAACTTCTGAAAAGAGTTTTGCTGCATCTCTTGCCAGTTTCCATTGTAAAAATGGTTCCTGACATAATGGTTTTATTATTAACTTTGCCAGGTTAATGTTTCTGAATTATTATCATGTTCAATTTGCTCATCATTTATAGTCATTTTTGTAAAACATTAAAATTAACGAAGGTAGATTAAATTCTCGTTGTCGTTGTTGCAATCAAATCTCGTGTAACATCAGGCTTTTTGCGTTTGACATCATTGTGATAAAGGTCTGTTTGGGAAAGCGATAACTTTACCCATCCTCTATCACCAAGTCTTAACCCTTCGCGCGCAATCCATAATTTCTATACAAAATTTGCACTTTGCACGGCGATATTTTTTCACTTGTTTTTTTATAATTTCGCAACCGAACTTTCCAACTTTCCACTAATTTAGCTGTACTGATTAATTTCAGTTTTAAATTTAGTTTACAGGAGGAATGGTCTATTGCGACGCCGATGATTATGAAGCTCCTGCCGAGGCACACAAAAGTCGTCTGATTTCAAATTATGCTGACAAATTGCTTTATGTGAACAAACGAAATTTAAGAAAAAGTTTTACGAAAGCGACAAAACGAGTCAAGCGATGCTGCAATTGTTTAACAGAACAAAGAATTTAATCGCACCCCCACTAGTAGTTATGCCAAGCATGTTTGCTTCTCTTGTGTAATATAAATATGTTTCGATATGACACAGAATAAAAACCTGATTCTCTTAATATTTCCATGAATTAAGACAAACAAGATGATGGCATTAAAACTCGACAAGTTATAAATTATAATAACCATCCAAGTTTGCCAATGGCAATGGCGATGGCTGCTTTTTTGTTTACCGCAAATTGACACAATGAGTTTACATCAAATAGACGCCGATAACAATCGATGCACAGCAGTTGGAAAGCCTAAAGTGTGAGAAAGTAAGGTTTAAGCATTATTAAGGTGAACTCTCTTGGTTTGGAATGCTACAAACAGAAAAAATCTACATATTAAATCTATTTGAATAATTTGATTAAAAAATGAATAACTTGATGTTGATAGAAATAACAATTAGTACAACATTTCAGCGAGGGGTGGGGAGCACGTATAATTGACAATTTGTGCTGTTTCGCACTCACAATTGTTTTATTGTTCTAATTAAAGTGCGCAACTCAACCATCCACCTGACACTACGGTATATTATAAAGTTCTGGCAAAGCATCAGCCGCCAGGAAGTTAAGTTTGTATAGATAGCGACAACAATTCCATTTTAATTTCAGATTGCTGACATTTGAGAAATAAAGACGTCTGAAATTTTCATAAAATGTTGGGTCTGGCTGTGTGTCTGATGATGTTTACCAGCTCTACCGCAGGTAAGGCAAAATTACGAAAAGCAAGTTGAATTCAGTCGTGTAAATCCATTTCGCTGGAACTAAATTACATGAAATTCGGTGGGTTGATGTATTGAAACTAGCCGTACGGGCATCAAAACCTGAAAGCTTTGTGACAAAATCACATGAAGGGAGGTTGAACTGTATTTTTCATAACTTAGCCCATAACGTTTTCAAAATCATTGATCAAAACAATGGCATTGAATTTAAATATACTTTGGACGAATTATGTACGAATCATTTCAAATTTTCTTTACCAGTAATAGTAGCTATATAACAAGACCCAGGCAGAATAAAGAAGGTCGAGTAAAATATGTGATCAACTAACTAGGACACTCCATACTTTCTTGACGTGCCCCCTGACAAATGTGAAACGTACGTCAATTCAAGTTATAAGCTTTAGAAAACCCCCCGATAATTTTGCAATGATATTTACTTCGATTTTATTGTCGTATCAAAGTCGTGAAATCCTCCATAGTCGAGCTATATGCAGTAAGAACTCTTTCCATGGTTTAATTAACTTAGTTTAAGCAAGAAAATTAAGCAAACAACTGCGCTTTTGACTCTGTTTCTCGATCAATTCTCATAAAAATTAGCAAATTACGTACACTGTATTTTACGTCTAGACATTCCTAGATAATTACTCTCTGCCTCTCTCCTACGCAGAGGCTTCGAATGCAAATGCGTTAGACTTTTAAAGATGACCGCGTTTTTAATTTCAGCAGCAGCGGTCATCTTTAAAAATCTAGCCCATTTGCATTCGAAGCCTCTGCGGAGAAGAGAGACTCTGCGTCTGTCTCAAGTTAACGTTGAAAAACTGTAGGAAAACTACCTTCAAATTTGGCTTTAAAGTTGATGGCCAAGTTAGCGTTCCAGGTTTTATTACAGTTCAGTGGATACCACAAACCGGAAGATGCAAACCCGTTTCTGTGAAGATTTCATAAACATATTAAAGCAATTAGCTATAATTATTGCTTTTCTCGTTTAAACGCTTTTTTAAAAACAATTTAGTAAAATAACTCAATTCTCGGTCATTAGTCGTTATCATTACGAGGAAAAATAACTCGCGACTTAAGTAAGACACAAGCTGTCTGTTTATACGAGCCAGCCAAGCCTGTCTTACATAAAACACGTCTTATATCTAAGACGGGAACAAGCATTTTCTAGGTCGCGACTTATTTTTCCTCCTTTGAATTGCCTTAAAAGGCTTAATCTAATTATTATCTTTAATATATAATATAATTAAATATAAATATAAGTATTATCTTTGTGTCATTTGACAAGAAACATCGAGAAACTTTTTAGCTATATATATTCCCATGCAATAATAAAACCCCACGTATCCAGGAATTTAAAAAGAAGGTATAGAATTTAGTACAGCAAAGTCCGAAAAATAACATCATGAGTATGCCAAGATATAGATTAAAACAATATAAACACGAGTTTGTAATATTTTGATTTTATTACAAAGTTACGTCAACAACTGCAAAAATGCACGTTCTTAGACTGGAGTTATATTTCTGTAAATTAAACCGGTTGACGTTAATAAGGTGCAACGATAGACAATCCAGAAGACATTCTTTTGGATTGTCCATGGTTTAACAGATTCGAAATGACCGACCTATCGTTACTTTCCGCGAAAAAACTTCTTAAAAAAAGCATTTTAAAAAATATATATAGAATATATAAAGAAGGGAATGGACACGAATATGTAACATAAAAATTTCAAGGTTCTTTTTATCGCTAACGCCACAAGTTAGAGGAATTATACCTTGACGATATATAACCGTGTTGTATCTATATTTTACTATACTAAAACGATACAAAACCATGCACTCTTTGAAATACTTTAATAGAATTTGTGATGTTTGCTGACGCTGATGCTGGGAAAATCTACGAAATGCAGCTGGACAGCGTGAATGTAAATCCAACTGCAATTCCATTTGATGAAAACACCAATATTACCCGCCCCGTTGCGTTGGAATATGACTGGGTTGAAGATCGTGTGTACTGGACGGATGTTACCCTTAGAATCATCTGTAGAGCATTCAGAAATGGAACAGGATTCGAGGTGTTGTTCAATGATATTGGTGTGGCAGATGGACTAACCATAGATCTTGCTGGTCGCCAGTTATATTGGACCAGCACAACAAACAATACTGTTGAAACTTCTAAGCTGGATGGTTCGTTTAGGAGGACTTTAGTCCGGTGGGATTTAGATGAACCACGGGATATTATTGTGGATGCAATTGATGGGTAAGTTCTAAATTCTAAAAACCCGAACGTGTTTTACCTTCACCAAGCATATATATCCTTGTGATTGAGTCAACTGAACTTCAGTACATACGTGAACAGCAACATTTTTGATGGGATTATCTACTACTTAATTTCATTTGCAAGCAACTACCCATTTCACTTCAGTTATATATACTGGACTGATTGGGGAAAGTTATAATTCATTTCCACTTGACTATACACAGGTCAGGTGTCTCCGCAAACCGCCCATTATTAGACGCCATGTCGAATAATTCTGTGTCGATAGAATTTTCTTTCGTTGTGTATTTGCAACCATAAGATTTATATAAATATATGGTATATTTCTCTTCAGTTATATGTACTGGACTGATTGGGGAAAGTTTCCAAGAATCGAGCGTGCCTACATGAACGGAGAAAACAGAATGGACCTTGTAAACCACACTCTTTACTGGCCAAATGGACTCACCATTGATCATGTTTATAATAAGTTGTATTGGGTCGATGCTCATGAAGATAATATTGAAGCAATGGACCTCGACACGCTCGAACGAAAGGTTATCTTGAACCAGAAAATCATTTTGTGTACGTATCTCATTTTTAAATTTTGACGATCACAACAACGAGACGTTTATTTACTACGTAACTTTTATCGTGAAAAATAAATTCAAGTAAACTGGTAATTTCATTACTTGAAGTAGTGCCCCAACACATTTCTCACGGCAGTCTTGCAGCCTAGCTTCTTACAGCCTAGCTTCAACTGATGTTCTTGCAAGGTTCAAGTGTTCCAGGCGAACGTTAGTATAGCACAATCTCGTAGCTCTTAGAATACTTTTCATTCTTGCTATTTTGCATAATAGCACTCTTGCTATTTTTTAGTTGGCTTCTTGTTTGGTCTTACAACCGAAGTGAACCACCCCTATGGCTTGACATCGTTAAATGATCATCTGTACTGGACAGACTGGAATACTGACTCTGTATATCGTGGTGACGTAAATACTGCGGCAAACATAAGAGTAATGGCGACTAACCTGGGCAAACCAATGGATATACATGCATATAGTTCCATACCAAAACAACGTAAGTGGTCTGTAGGACATAATAATGTAGAACATATGAAGCTATGTGTAGGACATGCGTATGACATATGTTGGACGGTATAGGACATAAATTATGTAGGACATATTATCATATCATTTATAATCTTTATATAGGTCTCTATATATATGTATAGTTATTTCATAAATTAGCGCTATGATAAAACACGGGACGGGGTAACTATAGCGAGGCTATTACGTACACAGTCATCATGCATATTATTCTTGTATGACGATCAAAGCAACACAGAGACCTTTCTCTTTTACCTATAAACACGCAATATATAACGGTAGTTGATTTCAAAGCGACTTATCGTTCAAAAATTTTGTTTTTTAGTAAGTTTGTCTATCATTTTGCTTCTTCGCCAAGCTAAATCACTCCTCACATTGCGCTATCACAACTCAATTTGACTTTGATAATCACCTGCGGAATTTTCACGTTTTTAGAAAAGCAATGCCCGAATTAATTTAACTTCGTTGAATATTTATTTTTTAGAAAAACGACTACACTACACATTTTCGTTCCCACAACGTGGCAGCAATTTCACATGCATCTCATCTTTATCATGTCCTGTTATCAATGCACCTCCATCATGTCCGCCAGGATACTCACATGTGCGAGAGAACTCAAAATGTGGGTTGAATTGTCGAGATATCGTGGGTTACACGTGGCGATGCCCGTGCAATGACTGGATGTCGTGTGCTGTGAAAGAAAGATACTTGTGGGGCTGTGCTGCTGGTTTTCACAGCAGTTTCAGGGTTCGAGAGTGTGTCCAAGGTTTGTTTACAATGCATTGTTATCTCATGCAACAATTTGACAACTTAGATCTATTTCACAGCGTTAACTTAAAAGCTCTCGAACTTACTTAAAAGGGATTTAATTAACACCCTCCCAACTTTCCTTTTGCTAAAATTTTAATATTCATACATGTTATATAATCTGCTAGGAGCTTAATTATAACTTATTAGGTGGTAAATAGCAGTTGACGACGCGCAATTTTCTATATCGCGCTTTTTCAGATGTAAAAGCTGGACGCTGTCCTTATGGTGGAGGCAAAGGAACATCGTGTGTCAGTGACTCAGATTGCCCGAGTAATGATAAATGTTGTGACTCGAAGTGTGCAACACCAGCAACAATAGGTATGTGCGCTACTTTTGGGGCCACACCCATGACCCATTGCAGCCATCGCACGTGATCGCAATGATAAGGTCCAGTTAGAACCATTTTTGATAACTTTTAAGTCAAGGATTTTCATCTCCTGAACGCAAGTGAAGAAGTGCAGGTGACAGCTTTGGCTTGTGAAATTGTGATCATTTGTTACAGCGATTTGTTAGTGACGATTATCATGATTTAATCTCAAGTCTCTTAAACAACGTTTATCTAACTTATCCAGCCGCTCATCCATGCCAGACAAACAACGGTGGTTGTGACCAGCTGTGTTTCGGGATTCCTGGTGGACACAAATGTGGTTGTAAAAATGGTTATTACTATAACGAAACTCAATCTAGGTGTATTTCCTCCACAAGACCTCTAATAAAACCACCGACTCCTCCTCCTAGACGTAAGTAGTAATTTTAACTGTTAAAAAGTGTTAACAACGTTTAAGTAGGAAAATGCTTTTGTTAAAGTAAAGTCATGTCTTTTTATTTATTGATTTTATTCTGAATGGATAACTCGCGCGATCTAGCTGCTTATAATAAACTTTAGCTTGCAAGCCACATCCAGCACCAGAAAATGGCTCAGTGACCTGTGAGACTGTAGATGGACAAGTTCCTGAATATAAAGAGTGTAATTTCTCATGTGATCCAGGATATGGCTTAGCTGGTTTTAGTTTTAGTAAATGCATTGGTGGTGAATGGATTGATAAAGCACCAACATGTCAACGTAAGTGTATAAACTAACTTCAAATAAATACATACTTCAAGACATTTTTGAACAATATCAGTGACTGCATGTATTGCCCACTTCTAGATTGACACCAATGCTTAATTACTCTCTTTTGTTCTGCTACGAATACATAAAGACGCTCACCAAAAAAGGGATTACCCCCCCCTCCAATAATTTTCACATGCACTGTGCTAGTTTGTGAGTAAAAGCTAAGAAAATGGCTCTAAATCTAAATCTAAAGGCAATAGAAAACATTTTAACTTGGAATTTAAGGCCTAACGCCTGTATTGAAAAAGCTCATGCAATCACTTGAGTGTGACAATACAAATTCTATTATTACTCATCAATGAGAAAGTTTTTTCTTAATCATTAGAAACAGGCAAAACACTGAAAAAATGATGCTCTTATTAATGTCCATGGATATGCCTCTTTATGGAAACATTTTGAGAAGATTAAGTCCCCCCACTCAATGAGTCCGGGTTTGCATGACACCGCGGAAATTGGTATAGGCTTAGCCGCAATTCTCGATACTTAGACTTCAAACTTCGTGAGGAAAAAGATTTATAAATATTCAAGAAAATATGTCTTGCACAAAACATTTGAAGCTTGCTCACGGTAAAAACGAATCGTCTGAATTAATAACCTTGTGTATACTTTAAGCCTCAAAATGGCCATTTCACAGCGGTCAGATGTGTATGATGAGCTGTCAAAAGATTGCAGAATGCGTATTCAGAATAAAAATTGAACTTTTTTAAGATATTCAAAAGGTTTCTCTTTGATAGGGCGATACAGAAATGCACAATTGTGAACCAGCGATTAGATTTTCGGGTTGAAACGTCTTAAACACCAATTTCTGCGGTGTCGGTTTGAATGAGCTTTTAGAATACATACATAAGGGTAAAACTAAAATCAGTGATAGGCAGAGGGGAGGTGCTTAAGCCTTTTGCTGAATGAGCGTGGTGTCATATTGCAGTTCGTCATATACAAATGTTTTTTGTTGAGTCAAATATATTAAATTGAGGCGACTGTTGTGAAATTGCCATGCAGTTATCAAACTCTCGTAAGATCTGTTTTTTTACTTCAACTTTACGCAGAAATTGGCAGTGGTGTAGTGTATTTCTATTTTTGTCAGTCATAAACAATTATATACACTAAATAATAACTTTGTTTTCCTAAAAAATCACGCAATTTATTACAAATCTTTAATTTTAGCTATACCCCAACCTCCACGTATGCATTGTCCTAATGACACAACGTTTCCAACAAACCAAGGAAAAGCTTATGCAATTGTTAATTGGAAAGTTCCCACGGCAACAGACAAGGATGGGACAAGTCTCCCTGTTCAAATCTACCCAAGTTACTACACCCCTCCGGCTAATCTCAGTATTGGGAGGCATTCGATTCGCGTCAGTGCGACAGACAAAGATGGACAATATGTTCAATGCTCTTTCTTTATAACAGTCGAAGGTTAGCTCAGTGTGTATTTTTAAAATCTACTGGATACTTTGTATATCTCTAACAGCGTCCAGCGTTGTAATAACGGGCACTAAACTTATTCTAAAAAATTGTATTCTTTGTAAGTGTCCTCTTGAATATTCATTTATAGATCGTGAACCCCCGTCATTTGGCTCAACTTGTCTGTCCAACATTCAACTATACACAGATAAAGACGACAGCATCCGCCTGCCTTCTTTCTTCAAAGAACCAACAGCTACAGATAATGTCAAACCACCTTCTGTTCACACTTCAGGCTTTCCCTTTGACTCATTCTTTCCTATTGGTACAACAGTGGTCAAATATACTGCAACAGACGATGCTGGATTAACCGCAACTTGTACCTTTAGTGTCACTGTTGTTAGTAAGTAACTTATTTTACATCAATTTAGTCAAACATGTTTATTCTAAGGCGTCTTCAATTTTCTTCAGACGTGTGCAGTGGTGTCACGTGTACTTACGGCGCAAAATGTCTTTTGGACCAAACAACAAAATCTTCGCACCTGTGTGCCTGCAGTACTTCCTGCCCGCAGTATTATGACCCTGTTTGCGGGTCGGACGGTCAGGACTACAACAATGAATGTCTTCTAAATGTCACCGTTTGCACGTTACGTAGAACAATCACAGTCGTGAAAAAAGGAAAGTGTGAGAAAGGTATTTTACGTTTTTATTCATATTTGAAATGATAACACAAATTTGCACAGCAATCTATTTCTTTAGTAAACTACAGGAGAGAATGTTGCAACAGCAAATTCGATCATGACGCATATTTCTCTTTTTCTGAGTCATTCTTGACATCTTGCTAAATGTCCATAGGACTGAACAATGATATACACTAAGACTCCGTTCACACAAGAACGTTTTCGAGCATCTTCATTTTCATTTTCATGTCAAAACTGTTTCAAACACCGTCAAACTACAATGAAAGTTAAAGCCAATTTACATTTATCATCGCGTGGACAAGGCGTCAAAAAGGATAAACTAGATAAAAACAATTTTAAAAACACTCGAAAGCAACGTTCCGTGTGCACCTAACCTAAATAACTACTGACTTTCTTTTCCCAAAAACTTAATATGTAATTTTTATTTCAACTCAATAATTTTAGCAAAGCCTCGTATGCATTGTCCAAATGACACAACGTTTCCAACAAACCAAGGAAAAGCTTATGCAATTGTTAATTGGAAAGTTCCCACGGCAACAGACAAGGATGGGACAAGTCTCCCTGTTCAAATCTACCCAAGTTACTACACCCCTCCGGCTAATCTCAGTATTGGGAGGCATTCGATTCGCATCAATGCAACAGACAAAGATGGAGGATATGTTCAATGCTCTTTCTATATAACAGTCGAAGGTTAGCTCAGTGTATATTTTTAAAATCTACTAGATACTTTGTATATCTCTGACATTGTCCAGCGTTGTAATAATGGGCACTAAACTTATTTTTAAAATTGTATTCTTTGTAAGTGTCCTCTTGAATATTCATTTATAGATCGTGAACCCCCGTCATTTGGCTCAACTTGCCCGTCCAACATTCAACTATACACAGATAATGACGACAGCATTCGCCTGCCTTCTTCCTTCAAAGAACCAACAGCTACAGATAATGTCAAACCACCTTCTGTTCACAGTTCAGGCTTTCCCTCTGACTCATTCTTTCCTATTGGTACAACAGTGGTCAAATATACTGCAACAGACGATGCTGGATTAACCGCAACTTGTACTTTTAGTGTCACTGTTGTTAGTAAGTAACTTATTTTACATCAACTCAGTCAAAGATGTTTATTCTAAGGCGTCTTCAATTTTCTTCAGACGTGTGCAGTGGTGTCACGTGTAATTACGGCGCAAAATGTCTTTTGGACCAAACAACAAAATCTTCGCACCTGTGTGCCTGCAGTACTTCCTGCCCAAAGAATTACGACCCTGTTTGCGGGTCGGACGGTCAGGACTACAACAATGAATGTCTTCTAAATGTCACCGTTTGCACGTCACGAAGAACAATCACGGTCGTGAAAAAAGGAAAATGTGAAAAGGGTATTTTACTTTTTTATTCACATTTTTGAAATGGCAACACAAATTTGCACTGCAATCTACAGGATAGAATGTTGCAACAGCAAATTCAATCATGACGCGTAATTCTCTTTTTCTGAGTCATTCTTAACATCTTGCTAAATGTCTATACGACTGAACAATGATATACACTAAGACTCCCTTCACACAAGAACGTTTTCGAGCATCTTCATTTTAGTTTTCATGTCAAAACTGTTTCAAATACCGCCATATTACAATGAAAGTTAAAGCTAATTAAAAATTTAAGCACATTTCCCCTTGGATCGCGTGTACAAGGCATCAAAAAGGATAAACTAAATAAAAACAATTTTAAAAACACTCGAAAGCAACGTTCCGTGTGCACATAGCATAAATAACTACTGACTTTGTTTTCCCAAAAACTTAATTTCTATTTCATTAACTCAATAATTTTAGCAAAGCCCCGTATGCATTGTCCTAATGACACAACGTTTCCAACAAACCAAGGAAAAGCTTATGCAATTGTTAATTGGAAGATTCCCACGGCAACAGACAAGGATGGGACAAGTCTCCCTGTTCAAATCTACCCAAGTTACTACAGGAATCTCAGTATTGGGAGCATTCATTCGATTCGCGTCAGTGCGACAGACAAAGATGGAGGATATGTTCAATGCTCTTTCTATATAACAGTCGAAGGTTAGCTCAGTCTATATTTTTAAAATCTACTGGATACTTTGTATATCTCTGACAGCGTCCAGCGTTGTAATAACGGGCACTAAACTTATTCTAAAAATTGTATCCTTAGTAAGTGTCCTCTTGAATATTCATTTATAGATCGTGAACCCCCGTCATTTGGCTCAACCTGTCCGTCCAACATTCAACTATACACAGATAATGACGACAGCATTCGCCTGCCTTCTTCCTTCAAAGAACCAACAGCTACAGATAATGCCAAACCACCTTCTGTTCACAGTTCAGGCTTTCCCTCTGACTCATTCTTTCCTATTGGTACAACAGTGGTCAAATATACTGCAACAGACGATGCTGGATTAACCGCAACTTGTACTTTTAGTGTCACTGTTGTTAGTAAGTAACTTATTTTACATCAACTGAGTCAAAGATGTTTATTCTAAGACGTCTTCAATTTTCTTCAGACGTGTGCAGTGGTGTCACGTGTAATTACGGCGCAAAATGTCTTTTGGACCAAACAACAAAATCTTCGCACCTGTGTGCCTGCAGTACTTCCTGCCCAAAGAATTACGACCCTGTTTGCGGGTCGGACGGTCAGGACTACAACAATGAATGTCTTCTAAATGTCACCGTTTGCACGTCACGAAGAACAATCACGGTCGTGAAAAAAGGAAAATGTGAAAAGGGTATTTTACTTTTTTATTCACATTTTTGAAATGGCAACACAAATTTGCACTGCAATCTACAGGATAGAATGTTGTAACAGCAAATTCAATCATGACGCGTAATTCTCTTTTTCTGAGTCATTCTTAACATCTTGCTAAATGTCTATACGACTGAACAATGATATACACTAAGACTCCCTTCACACAAGAACGTTTTCGAGCATCTTCATTTTAGTTTTCATGTCAAAACTGTTTCAAATACCGCCATATTACAATGAAAGTTAAAGCTAATTAAAAATTTAAGCACATTTCCCCTTGGATCGCGTGTACAAGGCATCAAAAAGGATAAACTAAATAAAAACAATTTTAAAAACACTCGAAAGCAACGTTCCGTGTGCACATAGCATAAATAACTACTGACTTTGTTTTCCCAAAAACTTAATTTCTATTTCATTAACTCAATAATTTTAGCAAAGCCCCGTATGCATTGTCCTAATGACACAACGTTTCCAACAAACCAAGGAAAAGCTTATGCAATTGTTAATTGGAAGATTCCCACGGCAACAGACAAGGATGGGACAAATCTCCCTGTTCAAATCTATCCAAGTTACTACACCCCTCCCGCTAATCTCAGTATTGGGAGGCATTCGATTCGCGTCAGTGCGACAGACAAAGATGGAGAATATGTTCAATGCTCTTTCTATATAACAGTCGAAGGTTAGCTCAGTCTATATTTTTAAAATCTACTGGATACTTTGTATATCTCTGACATTGTCCAGCGTTGTAATAATAGGCACTAAACTTATTTTTAAAATTGTATTCTTTGTAAGTGTCCTCTTGAATATTCATTTATAGATCGTGAACCCCCGTCATTTGGCTCAACTTGCCCGTCCAACATTCAACTATACACAGATAATGACGACAGCATTCGCCTGCCTTCTTCCTTCAAAGAACCAACAGCTACAGATAATGTCAAACCACCTTCTGTTCACAGTTCAGGCTTTCCCTCTGACTCATTCTTTCCTATTGGTACAACAGTGGTCAAATATACTGCAACAGACGATGCTGGATTAACCGCAACTTGTACTTTTAGTGTCACTGTTGTTAGTAAGTAACTTATTTTACATCAACTCAGTCAAAGATGCTTATTCTAAGACGTCTTCAATTTTTTTCAGACGTGTGCAGTGGTGTCACGTGTACTTACGGCGCAAAATGTCTTTTGGACCAAACAACAAAATCTTCACACCTGTGTGCCTGCAGTACTTCCTGCCCGCAGTATTCTGACCCTGTTTGCGGGTCGGACGGTCAGGACTACAACAATGAATGTCTTCTAAATGTCACCGTTTGCACGTCACGTAGAACAATCACGGTCGTGAAAAGAGGAATATGTGAAAAAGGTATTTTACTTTTTTATTCACATTTGGAATGATAACACAAATTTGCACTGCAATCTACAGGATAGAATGTTGCAACAGCAAATTCGATCATGACGCATATTTCTCTTTTCCTGGGTCATTCTTGACATCTTGCTAAATGTCTATAGGACTGAACAATGATATACACTAAGACTCCGTTCACACAAGAACGTTTTCGAGCATCTTCATTCTAGTTTTCATGTCAAAACTGTTTCAAACACCGTCAAATTACAATGAAAGTTAAAACTAATTTACATTTTAAGCACATTTCCCCTTGGATCGCGTGGACAAGGCATCAAAAAGGATAAACCAGATAAAAATATTTTAAAAACACTCGAAAGCAACGTTCCGTGTGCACATGGCATAAATAACTACTGACTTTGTTTTCCTGAAAACTGACGTAATTTTTATTTCAACTCAATACTTTTAGCAAAGCCCCGTATGCATTGTCCAAATGACACAACGTTTCCAACAAACCAAGGAAAAGCTTATGCAATTGTAAATTGGAAAGTTCCCACGGCAACAGACAAGGATGGGACAAGTCTCCCTGTTCAAATCTACCCAAGTTACTACACCCCTCCCGCTAATCTCAGTATTGGGAGGCATTCGATTCGCGTCAGTGCGACAGACAAAGATGGAGAATATGTTCAATGTTCTTTCTATATAACAGTCGAAGGTTTGCTCAGTGTATATTTTTAAAATCTACTGGATACTTTGTATATCTCTGACAGCGTCCAGCGTTGTAATAACGGGCACTAAACTTATTCTAAAAATTGTATTCTTAGTAAGTGTCCTCTTCAATGTTCTTTTATAGATCGTGAACCCCCGTCATTTGGCTCAACTTGTCCGTCCAACATTCAACTATACACAGATAAAGACGACAGCATCCGCCTGCCTTCTTCCTTCAAAGAACCAACAGCTACAGATAATGTCAAACCACCTTCTGTTCACAGTTCAGGCTTTCCCTCTGACTCATTCTTTCCTATTGGTACAACAGTGGTCAAATATACTGCAACAGACGATGCTGGATTAACCGCAACTTGTACTTTTAGTGTCACTGTTGTTAGTAAGTAACTTATTTTACATCAACTCAGTCAAAGATGTTTATTCTAAGGCGTCTTCAATTTTCTTCAGACGTGTGCAGTGGTGTCACGTGTAATTACGGCGCAAAATGTCTTTTGGACCAAACAACAAAATCTTCGCACCTGTGTGCCTGCAGTACTTCCTGCCCAAAGAATTACGACCCTGTTTGCGGGTCGGACGGTCAGGACTACAACAATGAATGTCTTCTAAATGTCACCGTTTGCACGTCACGAAGAACAATCACGGTCGTGAAAAAAGGAAAATGTGAAAAGGGTATTTTACTTTTTTATTCACATTTTTGAAATGGCAACACAAATTTGCACTGCAATCTACAGGATAGAATGTTGCAACAGCAAATTCAATCATGACGCGTAATTCTCTTTTCTGAGTCATTCTTAACATCTTGCTAAATGTCTATACGACTGAACAATGATATACTAAGACTCCCTTCACACAAGAACGTTTTCGAGCATCTTCATTTTAGTTTTCATGTCAAAACTGTTTCAAATACCGCCATATTACAATGAAAGTTAAAGCTAATTAAAAATTTAAGCACATTTCCCCTTGGATCGCGTGTACAAGGCATCAAAAAGGATAAACTAAATAAAAACAATTTTAAAAACACTCGAAAGCAACGTTCCGTGTGCACATAGCATAAATAACTACTGACTTTGTTTTCCCAAAAACTTAATTTCTATTTCATTAACTCAATAATTTTAGCAAAGCCCGTATGCATTGTCTAATGACACACGTTTCCAACAAACCAAGGAAAAGCTTATGCAATTGTTAATTGGAAGATTCCCACGGCAACAGACAAGGATGGGACAAGTCTCCCTGTTCAAATCTACCCAAGTTACTACACCCCTCCGGCTAATCTCAGTATTGGGAGGCATTCGATTCGCGTCAGTGCGACAGACAAAGATGGAGGATATGTTCAATGCTCTTTCTATATAACAGTCGAAGGTTAGCTCAGTCTATATTTTTAAAATCTACTGGATACTTTGTATATCTCTGACAGCGTCCAGCGTTGTAATAACGGGCACTAAACTTATTCTAAAATTGTATCCTTAGTAAGTGTCCTCTTGAATATTCATTATAGATCGTGAACCCCCCGTCATTTGGCTCAACCTGTCCGTCCAACATTCAACTATACACAGATAATGACGACAGCATTCGCCTGCCTTCTTCCTTCAAAGAACCAACAGCTACAGATAATGCCAAACCACCTTCTGTTCACAGTTCAGGCTTTCCCTCTGACTCATTCTTTCCTATTGGTACAACAGTGGTCAAATATACTGCAACAGACGATGCTGGATTAACCGCAACTTGTACTTTTAGTGTCACTGTTGTTAGTAAGTAACTTATTTTACATCAACTGAGTCAAAGATGTTTATTCTAAGACGTCTTCAATTTTCTTCAGACGTGTGCAGTGGTGTCACGTGTAATTACGGCGCAAAATGTCTTTTGGACCAAACAACAAATCTTCGCACCTGTGTGCCTGCAGTACTTCCTGCCCAAAGAATTACGACCCTGTTTGCGGGTCGGACGGTCAGGACTACAACAATGAATGTCTTCTAAATGTCACCGTTTGCACGTCACGAAGAACAATCACGGTCGTGAAAAAAGGAAAATGTGAAAAGGGTATTTTACTTTTTATTCACATTTTGAAATGGCAACACAAATTTGCACTGCAATCTACAGGATAGAATGTTGTAACAGCAAATTCAATCATGACGCGTAATTCTCTTTTCTGAGTCATTCTTAACATCTTGCTAAATGTCTATACGACTGAACAATGATATACACTAAGACTCCCTTCACACAAGAACGTTTTCGAGCATCTTCATTTTAGTTTCATGTCAAAACTGTTTCAAATACCGCCCATTACAATGAAAGTTAAGCTAATTAAAAATTTAAGCACATTTCCCCTTGGATCGCGTGTACAAGGCATCAAAAGGATAAACTAAATAAAAACAATTTAAAAACACTCGAAAGCAACGTTCCGTGTGCACATAGCATAAATAACTACTGACTTTGTTTTCCCAAAAACTTAATTTCTATTTCATTAACTCAATCATTTTAGCAAAGCCCCGTATGCATGTCCTAATGACACAACGTTTCCAACAAACCAAGGAAAAGCTTATGCAATTGTTAATTGGAAGTTCCCACGGCAACAGACAAGGATGGGACAAATCTCCCTGTTCAAATCTATCCAACTACACCCCTCCGCTAATCTCAGTATTGGGAGGCATTCGATTCGCGTCAGTGCGACAGACAAAGATGAAATGTTCAATGCTCTTTCTATATAACAGTCGAAGTTAGCTCAGTTATTTTTTAAAATCTACTGATACTTGTATATCTCTGACATTGTCCAGCGTTGTAAAATAGGCACTAAACTATTTTTAAAATTGTATTCTTGTAAGTGTCCTCTTGAATCATTCATTTAGATCGTGAACCCCCGTCATTTGGCTCAACTTGCCCGTCCAACATCAACTACACAGATAATGACGACAGCATTCGCCTGCCTTCTTCCTTCAAAGAACCAACAGCTACAGATAATGTCAAACCACCTTCTGTTCACAGTCAGGCTTTCCCTCTGACTCATTCTTTCCTATTGGTACAACAGTGGTCAAATATACTGCAACAGACGATGCTGGATTAACCGCAACTTGTACTTTAGTGTCACTGTTGTAAGTAACTTATTTACATCAACTCAGTCAAAGATGCTTATCTAAGACGTCTTCAATTTTTTTCAGACGTGTGCAGTGGTGTCACGTGTACTTACGGCGCAAAATGTCTTTTGGACCAAACAACAAAAATCTTCACACCTGTGTGCCTGCAGTACTTCCTGCCCGCAGTATTCGACCCTGTTTGCGGGTCGGACGGTCAGGACTACAACAATGAATGTCTTCTAAATGTCACCGTTTGCACGTCACGTAGAAACAATCACGGTCGTGAAAAGAGGAATATGTGAAAAAGGTATTTACTTTTTATTCACATTTGAATGATAACACAAATTTGCACTGCAATCTACAGATAGAATTGCAACAGCAAATTCGATCATGACGCATATTTCTCTTTTTTGGTCATTCTTGACATCTTGCTAAATGTCTATAGGACTGAACAATGATATACACTAAGACTCCGTTCACACAAGAACGTTTTCGAGCATCTTCATTCTAGTTTTCATGTCAAAACTGTTTCAAACACCGTCAATTACAATGAAAGTTAAACTAATTTACATTTTAAGCACATTTCCCCTTGGATCGCGTGGACAAGGCATCAAAAAGGATAAACCAGATAAAAATATTTTAAAAACACTCGAAAGCAACGTTCCGTGTGCACATGCATAAATAACTACTGACTTTGTTTTTCCTGAAAACTGACGTAATTTTTATTTCAACTCAATACTTTTAGCAAAGCCCCGTATGCATTGTCCAAATGACACAACGTTTCCAACAAACCAAGGAAAAGCTTATGCAATTGTAAATTGGAAGTTCCCACGGCAACAGACAAGGATGGGACAAGTCTCCCTGTTCAAATCTACCAAGTTACTACACCCTCCCGCTAATCTCAGTATTGGGAGGCATTCGATTCGCGTCAGTGCGACAGACAAAGATGGAGAATATGTTCAATGTTCTCTATATAACAGTCGAAGGTTTGCTCAGTGTATATTTTTAAAATCTACTGGATACTTTGTATACTCTGACAGCGTCCAGCGTTGTAATAACGGGCACTAAACCTTATTGTAAAAATTGTATTCTTAGTAAGTGTCCTCTTCAATGTTCTTTTATAGATCGTGAACCCCCGTCATTTGGCTCAACTTGTCCGTCCAACATTCAACTATACACAGATAAAGACGACAGCATCCGCCTGCCTTCTTCCTTCAAAGAACCAACAGCTACAGATAATATCAAACCACCTTCTGTTCACAGTTCAGGCTTTCCCTTTGACTCATTCTTTCCTATTGGTACAACAGTGGTCAAATATACTGCAACAGACGACGCTGGATTAACCGCAACTTGTACTTTTAGTGTCACTGTTGTTAGTAAGTAACTTATTTTACATCAACTCAGTCAAAGATGTTTATTCTAAGGCGTCTTCAATTTTCTTCAGACGTGTGCAGTGGTGTCACGTGTACTTACGGCGCAAAATGTCTTTTGGACCAAACAACAAAATCTTCGCACCTGTGTGCCTGCAGCACTTCCTGCCCGCAGTATTACGACCCTGTTTGCGGGTCGGACGGTCAGGACTACAACAATGAATGTCTTCTAAATGTCACCGTTTGCACGTCAAAAAGAATAATCACGGTCGTGAAAGAAGGAAAGTGCGAGAAAGGTATTTTACTTTTTTATTTACATTTGTGAAATGGTAAAACAGGTTTGCATGCAGCTCTTCAATCTGCCTGTATAGTTTAATTCACTGGTTTAACTGGATAGAATGGGAACAAGAAATTCATGAATCCGTTTTGAAAGATTGCAATCTACTTAATAGAAATAGAGATCAGTTATTGAAAAGGAATTGATATTGCATTTTACGCAACATTGCTTAATGCGTTTCGCAACGGGGGCTACCTGGCGCGTATTATGAATATACTATTTATTTACTTCACTTGAGAATTACTAACCTTTAAATTCTTACCAGAATAAATTGGGCTTGAATTTCAGAGTTGCGAAAAAAGATCAAGGTATACTATCATCTCTTTCAGGTGAAAGTTGCGACAAGAAGAAGTGTACTCACGGAGCAATTTGCAGAGTAAGAAACGAAAAAGCGGAGTGCTCTTGTGATTTGTCATGCAGTGATACTTTAGATCCTGTTTGTGGTTCTGATGGAAAGAACTATGAAAACAAATGCAAGATGAATGAAACTGCGTGCAATGAAAAGAATATTATTACTATGCTAAAGAGAGGAAAATGTGGTATGTTTATTTGTTTTGTAGTTTACACGAAAGTAATAACCAGACTTTTCAAGGAACGCCGCTAGCACACGAACATCCGTATTTCTCTTTTGTTTAAAAGTTTTAATAAGCTAATTTGAAATCAATTACAGAGTTAATACTCTTTACGGCTGCCGGTATATCGTTCCAGATTTTTTTTAGCTCTATATAAAAAACTACGTTGATCAGCAGCACTTTGATAAAAAGGAGTTTGTAACATGTCTTTGTTTCTAGTGTTACAAATTGCAGGTTTTTCTTTAATTTATCTGTTAAAGATGTTGACGCTATGCCTTTTTTGCATTTAAAATTCACGCGTCTTTGAGTTCCAATATGCAACTCGAGCTTACTGGTAGCCATTTCAATTCCGTAACTAGTCGTGCCGCAAAATTTTGTGCAACTTGTCGATCTTTTTTGAGGTATTTGACCATAACGCTGAGGTCGTAAAGCAAAATGTGAATACAACTTACGCAGATAGTAACACTCCTGTTTGTGGCTCAGATGGACGGACGTACAAAAATAAATGCGAATTACAAAATAAACAATGCAATAAACAAAGAAAGATCAGCGTTACTAAAAGTTAAAAGTTAAAAGTCTTTCAGTAATATACGGACTTAGGATGTGAAAAGCAGAAATATTAATCGATAATGAAATATCGTTAATTTTTTAATACCATACAGGCTGTGATGACCTCAACTTAAGTTCGGAATCTTTCACCCGCTCGAGCACAATGCAATGTCAAGACAAGGATAATTCCGTACAGTGTGAAGTCAAATGTAAAAGTGGATATAATGCAGTTTTCAACGATTTCTTGAAGTTACAATGTTATGAGAAGCAGTGGATAAGAGGAAACAACGCTGGGACATATGTCACACTTGCGGACGTGAATAATCCTCCGACATGCTACAGTAAGTTCTTGAACTAACTGATGTAACTATTAACATACTATAATGTTTCCCTTGTCACAATTGACCAATTTTAAACAACTTTTTAGAATCAACAATCAAAGGGGTTCAATCCCCATACTGTCCTGATGGTTCGATGGCATTGTCATTAGGCAAAGACATTTGTGGTAAATGCTTGTCAAATTTTAATCCTTTTTAACGTAAATCGATTAATGTCAACCTTAATTTACGCCTGGTCTCACTTTGGGCTTATCGCGATGAATAAGATAACGATTAATTGTTATCGCGATAATCGTCAATGGGAACGTGTTTAATTATCGTATTAATTACCAAACCTCGAAAAATCACGTTTGTTTCTAAAAGTTGTGGTATTTTATCGCGAAATTCGCTTTAATGCCTAGTATGACGTCATCTCGAATAATCGCGTTCGTCACATTGGGGATTATCGCGATGACAATTGATCGTTACGTTATCTCTTTTATCGAGATAAGCCCATAGTGAGAACCAGGGGGCGGTTGTTCGAAAGGCGTTTAGCTTACACGGTGGATAAGCCAAATTTTTAAAAATCCTCTCATAAATCTTGTGAATGACGGACCCTTTACAGTTACATTTACCTTGTACTTCCATTAAAAATAATTCTATTCACATCGAAATATTTCAGCTCAGTTGTTAAATTTTGTTTTTCATTTTGAACTTATCCGCCGTTTAATCTATAAACGCTTTTTGAACAACCTGCCCCAGGCTTTCGAGTTCGTTTACACTTGCGATTTATGCTGCGATTTTTTCTGCGATTTTCTCAGTTCTTTTGATAGATGTGAACGAGTAATTAGTTACGGATGCTCTGATGTATAAGAGTTCTTATTTAAACATCAGTAATTAATTCGCTCATTCACATGCATCTCTCGAAAAAAGAAAATAATGCATATAAAATCGCTGCAAAAATTGCAAGTGTAAACGGGCCTTTACATCATGCACATATTAATTCTTTTTCCGACCCAACTGCGATCATTCTGTGTTCCAAATTCATTTCAAGACAATTTTTCCTAAATATGACATAATTATTATCTTCTCTATTCTAGTGAAATGCCCTCGAGGCAGTTACTACGATAAAAGCAAAGTCAATGGGAAGTGTGAACCATGTCCAGTGACTGAGTATCAAGATTCAGCAGGACAAACTTCTTGCAAGAAATGTGGATCCACGAAAACTTCGACTACAACAGGAGCTGAGAATTGTTACTTTGATTATGGTATGTTTTATAGTTTGCAAAGAAGATGCATGTCAGGGTTTTGTTTTAAAGGTTTATTCACAATTTTCCCACAATATGAAAAGTATTTCCCGTTATGACATTAGAAAACATTAAGAGTTATTTTTTTCACACAAGTTTCGCGACTTTCTGAAAACAAGAAAGCTCTCTTCCCTTGCCACACAATGAATAAGTTTTTTTTATTTAAAAAAGTCCGTTTTTCACTAGGCGAATTTAATTGTTCGGTTAACGAAAAAATCGTTTCAAAATTCATTCCGCGCCATCCAATCACATTGCCCGCGGTTATCAGTCTTAATACTCCCAAAATCGCCGAAGTCACGCCTTCCTAGCCTCAAACAGAAGCAGTTAATATTGTTGCTGTTTTTTAGGTAATTCTGTTGTTACAATGGAGTTTGGTGTAAAATTATCAGAAGTATGTAAAAGAAAATATTGCAGAACATTTAAGAACCTTTTGTCACATGCGGTTTCCTCTGAATTATTTCGCAGTTGATTGTAGGACAAATCTATATAACAACACATGTTTGCTTGAGAATGCCGACCTTTGCTTTGATATAGTGACTTTTGTCGATCGATGGTCGATAGGAATGTGGGTTGAACATACATTCTCCAACCTAAATAGGAGAAGATTTCTAACATGTACAATACAGTATATATAATAATTTGTTATATGTTAACTATTACAATTCAGGTGTTAAACATTATTCTATAGAGGCGATCGCCAATTTATATTAGGACTGAAAATGATCAGACTAGTGTTAATGATCCAATAATCATCTATCTGCCTATAGCACACAGTATATCTCAACAAAACTATCGAGCCAATCAAACTTCGTGTTACATCAGACTTTCCGCGTTTGACGTCATTATGAAAAAAGTCTATTATAGCGTGTTTTGATTTCTGAAAGAAAAACGTGGGTTGGGTAAAGTCGTCCTCTATTCAACAAACTAGGTTTAATTAGGTTTAATTAGGTTTAATTAGGTTCTTTTAATTATGTTTAATCTATTCAGGTTTCAAAAGATAAGATTCGCAGTATTATCGCTAAGGCCCTGACGAAGGTTTGCAAAACTGTATCATGTTCTTACGAACAAACGACGAAAAGGTATTTGTACATGCGCATTACAAACAATAAGTCGTTATTAGCCAGATTGTCCAGCCTGTCTTTGCTCGATTTGGTCTTTGTCCAGTTATTTGGTTATATGAGAAGTTCTGACTGAAACAGTCGATGGACAAAAAATAGTGCGAAAATTACAGTTCCGCATATTTTTTTTAATTCTGGATTTAAATCTCGAAAACTTAACCGTGTCAAACAATATTTGCCAAACATGACATGTTTTATTTGCTTTGGTTAATTTGGTAGTGTGACTTCAACTATATTTTCATTCAACATTATCCACGGGCTCAAACGAGCCTCAAGCAACAGTCCTCGGCTCGGCGGTCATTGCACAATAGTAACTAAAATAATTAATTCATTCTTTTGCAGACGAAAAAAACGTGAGAGTGAAGCGTACGAATTTAAAGCTGAACATGTTATTGTTGTGAATATGAAAGAAAAAGACCAGAAGACAGAAGTCGAATTTTTGCTTCTTGATCCAAAACCAGGCTCACATCTACCTGAAGCTTTCACGACCCAAAATCTCAAAACTTTGACAAAAGAAATACCAGAAAAAGATCTCGTATATCCAGTCAGTGATAACGAAGCCTCTACTCAAGAGAATTCGACCTCAAAAACCCCAATAATAGCTGGTTCTATTGGCGCTTTTATTGCAGTGATTTTTCTTGTATTTTCTATGTGGATGTATAGACGTCACAAGAATAAGAGGTGATTATGTTCTCTCGCCAAATTAAGCCAGGCGCACACGACGCGATTTTGTCGTACAATTCATTCGGCCGATTTTAATCAGCAATTAAATATCAACTGTTTTGTTATTATTCCGATTGCAGTCTACCCCCTGCCGACTAAAATCGCTTAAAATATCATCGTACACGCAAGGATTTCGTCGATCGTGCGCGCGGTGCGCCTGGCTTAAAAAGATAATTGAAGGCGCCGGTATAGGACAATTTTCCCGTTGATGCTAAAACGACATTTCTCCTCTCAGATCCACCCATACCCACTAAAACTCATTCAATCTTTTTCCAGCCGGATTCCCCCCGGACAGTTTGATCAAGGAAGAACGCCGATCAGTCGGTCACCAGAACAACATGTGTCAGACCACATCTATGAAACCCCTCATGACTTTCAAATGAACATTCTTCAGCCAGGCCAAGGTAAGTGTAGCGTTTTCCATGATGATTCGTTTTTAGAGGTTTATATTACATGTTTACGAATAACAATTGCTTTAAATATTGCCCTATAAACCACAAGTCATATTCATATAAATATTCTAAATTGCATATCTCCTCTCTAACTTGTTAAACCATTCGTCTGGGGCAACGGGGAGTGAGATTGCACGCCCTCCTTGGAAATCAGCTTATAGCGTGTCTAAATAAAGTTTTATCTTATCTTCTTTCCAACACTGAGTTCATGTAGCTAGTTTCAGGCTTAAAACTAACAACTAAAACTGTAACTGCACTACAGAGAATTTGTCAGGATTGTATGGTAGAAACCAAGTCATATCTTCACCATTCTACGAAAGTTCTCCAGTACACCAGCCCACTAGCGAGAATGCGTCTTGTCATGTCTACGAACTCCCGGATACTGACCTGGATGATGGATTGTACGTGTCCAAGGATGCAGTGGTTAATCTGAACACCCAAAAGCAAGTAGTTGGGGTCACACCCAAGACGGTAGGGAACTGGAATCGAAGGTCACGACCTAACGACTACCAGATTCCTGAAATACACTCATTTCAACGCACCCCGGATCCCCGGTATCTGTTGAGGTGAGTCAATGTTTTTAACATTTTGGTTATAGCAGTAAGTCTGGTAAATGTTGTGATATTTTAGCATCAAATGTCGTATAACAATTGCCTAAAATAGACAAAAACACTTCTCGACGTTTCGACGTTTGGTCAAACGACGACTCTCGTAACAACTTTAGGCATTTTTTATTCCACATTTGATACTAAGTTGTTTGAAGACGCTGCCAGCCTGCTCCCTATTGGAACGATCAATCCATATGTTCAATCTTTTGATCGCAGTTTTACCTCATCGTAGAAGATTAGCCGTTATCTCAGACATTCTTTTCCAAATCTATTTCTTCCCTTCCATTATTTGAATTATCCATTGTTCCGCCCCATTGTTTGTCAATAGCTGATGATCCTTAATTTATAACTACATTTTAATATAGATATTTAAAGTAAAATTTGTAAATTCTCTTAGCTTCGATCAGCCTCCTCCAAATTCACATTATGTTGTTTCAAATGAAACACCGCCCTTCGTTTTACCAAACGCCCCTCGGAGATCGAATAGGGGCCCTCCCGTTGACCACCAAGGACGCTTCGTGTACCAAAGGGTTGGTGACGCCACGAGAGGACAAACTGAAACCTAGGAAGGTCATATGACGCATTCCTCCGATCTGGTTGGATATTCAGTAACGTTGATTTTCAATAAAAACCATTCGTATATATTTCAGTCATTTTTTTACATAAAATTCTAGCACATACAATGTATCGTACATTAGCGCCTTGTATTCTTTTAACCTTAAAGAAGACTTTTTAGGAAATAAACAGGAGCAGAAACAATGTAATCTGCCACTAGAAACATTAGGACCATTTATACCAGGAAAAAAAGGCGGCGTCTTAGATAAGACGCGTCCTGTATTTAAGTCGCGACTTAGATAAGAACAGGGATTTTACTTGTTCTTATTCAGATGCGTCTTAATTAAATTTTAAAAAAACAACGCATGCGTGAACACGGGCGAAAAAGTCAGAAATCAAAATGGTGGAAAAAACAAGCAAAGCTGACACCATATAGAAGAGATATGTGAAGTGGCAACAACATTAAATACGGAATTAGGACGCGAAATATTTATACCAGCTTGCGTCTTATTTAAGTCGCGTCTTAAATAAGTCGCGACTTATTTTGCCTAGTATATAAATAGCCCTATTGTTCCTATGATATGTAAACATGAATTTATGAATGTACACCTTCGCGATCTATAGCTACGACTCTGAACACTCCTCATATTCGTTTAACTGCATCACGATAATGAATAAGAAATGCAACCGTTAGCATTCACAGTTTTGCTGCATTTTGGTAAACTTGGTCTCCATAATATTTTATAAATGATTAATCTATGACATTCAGTTTCTTAAGTGGTCATCAGTTATATAATAAATTTTTTTTTTGAACTTTTGACATTAACAAACGTATCGTAAATTTCGTTGTCGTAGTTTGTACGTTGTCGTTGTCGTTGTCGATGTTTAATAATTGATGTTGTTATTGTTGTCGCTGTTCAATAACATTTCTCTCTGCACAGGTAAAGAATACCTTTCTACCTTAAAACTATACTATTTATAAATACAATATTTTTAAATCTTTAATACTTCCCATTGGGTAGCCTTACCAAACGCTAGTTGCACTACCCTGGCTAATATCAGCCACAGTCCGTTATTAACCACCGCCCCTTACCATATAAGACCAAGATAATTCAGGACATGCATTTACGAATTACGAAAAGCTTTAAGATTTAAGATAAAAGTTTAAAGTAAATACTTAAACAAGTCCAGACGAATCAATTTGCCTACTGATGTTGGCACGGGATAATTCCCTATTGTTGCATGGAATACGATCTAAAACCCTTACATACAATATATTTTTCTAGAATTTTAAACTAGTAAAGTTAGTGAAACGGAAAATATTCAAGAAGCCGTTTCGACAAACTCTTTATTTTAAACGTGAGTATATATCTGCATGTTTCGCTTGAAGGAACAAGCGTTTCAAAGAATGAAATGAGATGTTAAACATCCATTGTAAAATACAGCACAACTGAGTCTGTATGAGAACAATCGCAAATTGCGGCATGAAAACAAGTGAAAAACGCCTTACCCGACATATGAGTTTAAATATAGCATGAAGTAGTTCTGAAGTTAGATTATTCATGCTTGTGCATGCCCCTATCATTGAAAGCATGATTGTTCAACGAGATAAACAATTTAGACGTAATTTGTAATTTAAATTTGTATTCTTTATATAGACATTTTAATTGCATTTAAGTGGCCTTTTATAACTGAACGTCTGAATTGCATATTACCGACCACATGCAGTTCTTGATATTTGAAACTGAAGTTCTAAGCGAATTCTAAGCCCTAATGTCTACCCTCGAAAATTTACTGGAATAAACACCTCTGAGTATAACACTGATTTACATATATTATATTCCCAAAACAAAAAAGCAAATCAAGCGTTGCTGCAATTGTTTCAACAAATAATAACTCCTCCCCTTGCAACTTTATTTCTCTCAATCTGATGCCAAAGAAAAACGTAATTCCTTCCCGTAATTCCTTCTCGTGTATTAGGATTTAGGAATGACAAGCATTAAAACGCAGCAATGTATATCTCTGCAAAAACATTTAACAATTATGCGTTTCATACCACCGAGATAGAAAAAAAACATGCATGCAATCACGAAATTTTAAAAGTATGCATATCCAAAATTTCAAAAAATGTGAGTTGGGTTATTTCTAAAAGGTTTGTATTTCAAATGAGTTCACCGTAGCGCTAAGAATTATGACACTATAAACACTTCACATACGGCATATGTCGGCATAATGTTATCCATGCAAGTAAAAATTTCTGAGCGATAAATCGCGGCATGAATTTTTTGCGGGGGTTACATATGATTGCACACTACGGCTTGAATTATTATTAATACTATAATAACCACTAAATGCTTTTTAGTTGCGAGTCAGATCAGAGGCTGCATCACGTTCTTGTATACCTTGCTCAAAGTGTTTTCTATTCCATACGAAAAAAGGTAAGAGTACTAGCTTTTTATGTATATTATCTTAAACTCCTTTCGTATCATAAACATATGTTGTTTACCAGAAAAAGAACATCCTTATATGCAAGTGGTGCTATTCATTGCTAATCGCACATAAGCATATATCACTGCTTGATTTTCTAGTTTTTAAAAATAACCCGCTTTGGAATCCTGGAATTCATACAACTGTTATTCTGGCTATATCCTACTGTGTGTTGTAAAAGTTTATTTATTGTAGTTTCAACATTCAGTTTGATTCCCAATGCACCCAAAGCAGTACCTTAGTCCGAAGGCGAAGCCGAAGGCGATAATTTTAATGGTCCTATTTTATATCCGCTAAGTTATGTACACCTAATTGAGTACGAAAAACGTTTATTTTTCCTGATAAATCCTCAACAGCGTTTTTATACGTGAAGTTCGATGAACAAAATGGCTATAATATTATAGTGTGCAGCAACTAAAGTTTCTGCCTTCCCTCACGGCTAGTGTGAGACGGTCGGCTGTGTTCCTAGGAAACTTGAGCAAAGAAAATGTAGCTCGTCCGCCTGGGTATGAGGCCTTTACATGTAGAACGTGTTTTAATAAGAATCATCTGCGCATGATTTCGTTCAACTTCATCGGATGCACGGATTAATTCAAACTGATATAGCGTGTTATAAGTCATCTTTTCTCAGGCCAGCGTGTTCCGCACACGCTTGGGTTTCCTTCTTTCCGACTTCCCGTTTAGATAAAACGAACAAATATTAAACTGGCAGACCTTATAAGGACTGCACAGCCACTGTTTCTCCATTTTCTGCTTTTTTTTTGACAGTATTCATTATAGGACTTTATTATTACCTCCTCTTTCTATGTAAATTTTTGCAATATCACCAGCTCCCATGGGGATTTTTTAATTAGTTTTAGGTCTCTAAATTTGTGCGAAATTGGAGAGAGAAAGTACAGTAAATTATTCTACTTTTAGCTAGAAATCTTAACTGAGAAATTCTTTCTCATATCTAGTGTCTAAAGTATTTCCCGCTAAAGAGAAACAATCATTTGCACTGACGTATTGTACAAGTCAAACAATTCAATTGCTGACGACAACACAGACACACAATACCATGTTGCGTGCCAACGTATTGTCGCGATTTAATAAACATATTAAGACCGAACTCATAAACGAAAGTCTAGATAGATCAGATAGCAAACTGTCTTAGTTCTTTTTTAATTTACTATATATATATACTGATGAACCGAAGTAATATAATCTCTTCATTTTAGGCTTAGATTTTTTCCAAGCTTTCTAGCTCTTTCTGTCGACTGTTTGTTAAATTCGATTTTTTTTCCATTAATCAAACAAAACTTGACAATTTTTATATATATATATAAATTATCTTTCAGTAATTATTGGGTGTGCGGCTAACATATTTATGACGTCATGGCAGTGTGAAAGATCACGTATAGTTCTTAGGCAGTTCTTATTACCGTCTAATATAAGTACCAAAGCACTACACAACTTCTCAGCTAATTTTTCAGTCGAGATATGAATTATGAGTAGATTCTGAACCTAGTTTACCATTGATAATATTAATAGCATTATCTATATAGTGGTGCGTGCATGACTTGTGCTATATTCATGATTGTTTTCTAACGCAAATAGTTTTCGTCCGATTATCTACTTGCAATTATATTCAGCTAATATAATGATCAATAATCATCTGACTTTTTAAAGTCGCTTTTATGCCTTTTTTAATATTCGCACAGTTTGTCAGCTTTGTTATCATTGATATATTTCGGCTGCGATAGTCATCAACAATTAAATCACCGAAATATGTTTTCCTTGTAGTCAACACAAGTCATTCATTTACATGGTATCACTGAAATTCAACGGTGAAGGAAATTACTTTTTAAATAAAGGGTCGTTTAAAACGGTATGGCAATGGGTATATTTGGGTTATAAGTTATTAATCAACTCGGTATTTGATTTTGAATCCAACATAAATTATATCTTACGATACATCCCTTGTATACTTTCAAAAATAAATTCCTGCAATAATAAAAAACGAGTCTATAATATTCAAAAGTCCATGATCGCCTCTAGTCTTTATACTTTTATTTCATCAGTGGCTGAATAATGAATTTTATTATATACACAAGCGCCAGATATGAGGTATGCTGCAATTTCATTAGTTGGCTACTAGACAGATATTAGCTCATATCTGTCTAGTAGAGAAAGTATAAACAAAATGGCTGAAAGATTTGGGAATTAAGTGAAACAGAAATCCAAGCTTTAGTTGATAATAGCACACCAAAATGCACCGAAAGAGCGACAAAGTTTTTCGCCCTTTCGGTGCTTTGCTATCAGCTCATATACGACTCGAGTTCGCAGAATAACTGTTAAATACACCCCAACAGTACATGCGCTATCACTCATCACCATTTAACAGCGATTTTATCTCACTTCTATATAGTGTTCTGAAATTCGGCAGCGTTAGGAAATGTTGTGTCTGGTGGTTTGTTTGACACTACTTAACAGCTATGCAGGTAAAACAAAACTTATTGACATTAAAGATTAAAGTTTAAACCCTAAAACTACTGTAAGTATAATCATTATGTGGTCTGGTCAGGGTGGATCATATCGTGCACTGTATGAAAAATGATTAAAAAACAGGAATTTAAACTATGAAATATGATTAGTTGATGTTAACGATAAGATCATTTGCAGGATTAATATTTCCTATTGTTTGGAATATAGTGGTTTATATAAGCTAGGTATCGGTTGGTAACCGGAATAACAAGCTGCGAAGAGGGAAGGCCCACGCAGATCGGACGTGATGCCGCAACGCGACGCGAATTTTCAGGTTTCAGAAGCATATAAATTGAATTTTGGAAGCAAAATTTGGAATCTATGCGCGCCAGAGAGCAGTCAGAATGTATTATTGTTACGTGATCTACAAGAATATCATGATAGGTTAAAATTTATTTGCTTTTGGAAAATAAAAAACTTGAAAAATCGCACCGCGTTGTCAAATCGCGCCCTTTCTGGGTGCATGGGCCTTTAGAGATGCATGCAACAACAGCTATAATACAACTGAAAAGACGGATGGTTAGCATTTCAAAACAAACATGGGGACCCTTGTGCCGTTTCTCAACTGAAGGGTTTATCTGTATATATAATTTTATATACTCGCTGAAACACCAATTAAACCACTGGAATGTATGGCGCCATATTATAGTTCAGAAAATTCCTAAATCAGTGGGGGAGGTCTTTAATAAGTCAACAATGAAAAATTATTATATATAACATTGTTTGGCGTGAAACCATTTAAAATTTGACATGTGTGGTTTATTTTA